ATGCCCAGAACTTCTGATCTCTTCCTTTTCCAGCTGGGGTGAGGGCAGAAACAGAAAGATTCTGAAACGTCCCAAAGAGGAGAAGGACTTCAAGACTGGGGGAGGGCCCTCAGGGCTCGAGGGCCAGCCCCAACACCGTGGAAGAGGAAAGCAGTCTTTGGGGCTGCCGTTTACCGAGGGCCAACAGTAGGCGAGCTCCATGCTAAGGATTCCACGTGCCTGACCTTATTTAATCCTTAGGACGGCCCCAGGAGGTCGGTGCTGCGTCTATGGCGGCGAGGAAAACCCCAAAGATGGGAAGTAACGGACCGCAGTCACACGACAGAAAAGTGGCAGAGCTGGGAGTAACCCTGGGTTACGGCCCATCACCCAGTGGGTCGAATCTTTTTGTGTTACGCTGATTGGGGTGAAAAAGATTCACTCAACAAACGTCTACTGAGTACCTACTACGTGCCAGGTGTTCCCGATGGTGGGCTCGCCGGACCATCTTAGAACAACCTTGTCGGTAACTGGACATCAAACTGAAGCACATCTGCCCAGAAGAACCATGACCCACAACTAAAATGACGCTGCAAGAGTATGTTTACTGACACAGAGTCACGGTCATGGAGTAAATGAGAAAGAGGCTTCCCAGACACAGGCAGAGAGTATCATTCATGTCAAAATTACACCCTGTACCCTAGAAACAAAACCAGATGGGAATGTAAGAAAATGTTAGCTGTGAGCCCCGGAGATCAGAGGTGATTTCCACTTCCTCTTTTTTGTACATCTGGTTTTCCTAAAACACATGTTACGTGTGTAATAAGTAAGTTTCCCCAAGAAAGAAAGAGCGAACCTCGCTGGGGACAAGCGACAGCTGGTGTTGGAGAGGCCTGATCTCCGGGCGCACGGAGGGCCCTGAGCCTGCGCTGGTGCCGTGAAAGAAGCACGAACCCGGGGGCCTCGCGGTGTCAGCGAAAGGCTACTTCACCCTGTGCCAGAGCATCCGGGAGGGGGTGCTCCTGGCCATGTAGGAGAAGCGGTCAGCGTGGGGGTGTGTGTCCTCCGAGGCGAGAGGGCTTCTAAGGGCCATTTCCGCACTGCCCACGTCTTCATCATTAGTTTGAAGTTTCTCTCAAATGATGTTGACTCCAAAGAAAGGCAGCTTATATGTTTGTTACAACAAGGTTTCTAGCAGATGGTTGACACATTTCTTGTTAAATCAGCCCATTAGAACAACTTCTTGATGGAAACTAAGTGTTTTTTCTTAAGTTGGTATGTAACATTCCCAGCAGAATTACAAAGAATTACATTCCCATCAGTTTATAATTGAAACAGTTTATCAGTCTAACATCTATCGTGAATTGTGCATTCTAAATAGTAACTCTTTTTTCTGTCTGAAGTAAAATACTTTTTTAAATTAAAAAAATTCCTACTGGATTAGTATACTGGCTACATTAGATAGTGTAGATAGTTCATCAAGATGGTATTTTCAATCCCTCATTTGAATTTAGTAAGTACTTCATTATGATGTGGATCACTATCTGATTATTAATATTTATTTGCCATCAATAATATATAAAGTAAAGATTATATCGCCATATATAGCTTTTGTTTCTTCTGGAGCTTCTGTCAGTGCGAAGATTAAGTGCTATTTATTTTGTGGCTCATTACCAGCCAAGTGCTGTCAAATGTTAAGCTAAGGTAAAAGTTCACCATGTCATATGGAGGACTGTTAAATCCAGTGGCCATTTCTGAAGAAAACGGGATAGAGATGCAAGAAGACTGACACTGTTATAAATAATATAGCTTCCATGAAAGCAGAACATAACAATTTTAAAATGAAGTACATCTTAGAAAACGTGAATGTTGAGATCTCAAAAACACTGTTATTTTAGGTTCAACGGACCTATTTGTGCAATTTACAGGGACTGGCTTGGTATTTGCTGTCATTACTGTTACTGAGAGACAGACATGTTGACGTGGAACGGTTTTCCTCGAGGGAAAGGAGCCTTGTTTTAATTTTCGCCGAGGCGCCCTGAGCGCTAACGACAGGCCTGCCCACGGTGCGTGGTGCGTGTGAGCTGCAGGGCCACCGAGCGGGGACCGGGACTGCTGCACATGGGACCGTCTCCCCCGCAAGGTGGGACGGCTCCAAGTTTCTCCCGCCACAGCACTGACCTCACTCGCGGGCACGCTCGTGGGTCCCGAACCACTCACGACCCACAGACCAGCGCATTCCTCTTCCGCTTTTCTGGAGATACGCAGACTTTCAGCTGCTGCGTGACCAGGCTAAAGCCCGTCTGTGTTTTTTACCTTCATATGTGACCTACTTTGTTTCACTTCCCCTCAAAGCCTGGCTTCTAGAACTGGCACCCTAGCCCAGGGCCAAGGCACCTTGGTTCCTTTTTTTTTTTTTAAATTTCACCCCTCCCCTCTGACAACCTGCAGCTTGTTCTCTCTGTGGGTCTGTTTCTGTTTTGTCCTGCTTATTCATTTGTTTTGGGTTTTTTGTTTTTTTAGATTCCACATGTAAGTGAAATCATGAGGGATTTGTGTTTCTCTGGTGTATTTCGCTGAGCACAGACTAGCTCGTTCTGATGTGACAATGACCGTGAGAACCGCGATCACTCCCGACACTTCACATCCACCTGACCACGTCTGGGCTTTGCCGAAGTCTCGGTTGAGGTCACAGTGCTTACTGTGTCACCGAAGTGGGTGCCATCCAGTGTACGTCAGACCAGAAAAGTGACCAACAAACTCAGAGGTCACCTAGCAGCCCCTCCCGTACCCACGAGGGACACGAGGTGTGGAAGTCCAGACGCCTCACCCCGCACAGGCCGCACAGTGTGATAACGGCCCCCACGGTGGTCCCCATTTTCCAAGTGCCACACGCCGTGCTGGGGGTTCTCCTACCATTTCTCGTAAACGTGTAAGATTCAAGGGCAGTGGACATAAAACCCCAGTTCACGGAGGGAGACATGAGGCTCGGAGAAGCGAAGTGGGGGAACTGATCGGAAACCCCGGTCTCCCTCTCACTCCAGAGCCGGCGCCCTTTCCATGGGGTCTCACGCCTGCACTAACCAAAAAAGGAACACTCCTGAAATGTGAGACGGCATCCCAGACCCGTGGACAAATACCAGTGTGCGACGGGGAAGACACCACGCTGTCCTGAGGCCACCGAACACCATCGCGTTTAAAAGAGAAATTGCAACGGGTCACTCCCAGTACCTTCCTGTGCACGTTTGAAGTTCCGGGGTCTGGGTGCCGGTCGGTGAGCCCCCAGGTCGGCCGCGCTGCCCTACAGCCAGCCGCTCACGGGGGGATGGAGAGCAAAGATGGAGGAAGGGGGCCGGGCGGCGACTGAGTCACCAACTGGACCTTCACTGTGTTGCTTCTCTGCTGCTGCTTCTTCCTGTCTGAGTCACCTCCTCTGGACCCTGAAGGTGTCTGTCCTCCCGGCCGTGACCCAAGAGGGGCGGGGACTTTCCCTCTGAATCTCCCAGTTCAGAGCGACACTGGCCTCTACCAGTCCAATGGGAGAAAGGGTTTACTTTTACATGCATGTGTTCAGTTGTTTCAGTTATTCTGAGGGGATGATTAGTAAATGTACTCAGGCCCTAATTTCCAAATCAAAATTTCCTACCGTGGCATTTACAAAAAAAAAACCCGTTTGTAAGTATCTTTTACGGAAATATTTACTCAGGACATTTACCAAAGCCATAGGATTTAGAAGATAAAACAGATCTGGATTTGCACAACGGAGATTCCCTTTGGAAATTCTTAATAAAACGCAGATGTGCAGAGAAGCAGCCAAGCTGTTAAGGGCCACCGAGATCCAGACATCACAGGTCAGCTTGTGGGCCCTCCCCAAATCCGCAGGCGCTGGAAGGCCACACCACAGGTCCCTGCGCTCACGCTCTGTTGCCATTGTAACCACCTGGCCTCATTTCCAGGGCATTATCACCCACTTAGCATAATCTTCTGATAAGAAGCAGTAACAGTCTGCATCAGAAGACTGAACCCACGTGAGTGGGTTTGAGAGATTGTTAGTGGACCATGGACTTGACCTGCTACAGATGTGAGAAGTGCTTGCTTTCTTCCTACGAAACATGGTCTTTCAGGAATAAACCTGAAAATGCATTCAAGCTTCCTTCACAGGACTGGAACAAGACGGATTACAGACTTGGGAATTTCACAGCCTGTGGGTCGGAGCCCAGGGCTCGATGACTAAGCCTTTTCCTTACACGAACATTCGGGGAGGGGGCGGGGGAAGAGTTTAGCCTGTGAAGCTGAAATTCCTCCCTAAGCCTTGCTCAGTAGAGAGAACACGATTAAAGCACAAGGAATAAAAAGTGCAGTAGGTATAACATACACAGAGAAACCGATCTCCCGCGCACAACACATTCTTAAACATAAAAAACAATTAAAATGCCCCAAACTAGCTTTCACTCTTAAAGCGTTCCTATTAGTTTCACAGCTATCTGTCATAATCCATCAAACACAAATCTCAAAGAAAATCCAAAATCAGGAGGAGTAGGTGCATTTCATGCGTCCAGTGAGAAACTGGTTCCTACTTCTGGTGTTAGCTCAGTGTTAAAAATAGTTTCTGACCCATCATAAAAGTACAACCTTTCACCCACTCTGTCAGAGAAAACACTGCTGACACACTTACACTGCCCACTGAAATCCACTTTCACGTGGCAGCAGATCGTGCTAGAAAATACCAAGTGCCCTCAGGGAAACTCGGAACAAACAGCTCCCCAACTCCACGCAGCTGGTCGAGGCGAGTTCTCAGCAGCTACCTCTGCATGTGAGCGCGCTGGGCACTCACACTGTCCTTCCTTCCTGGACATGACCGCCCCAGCGCTGTTCCACGGGGGCCCACTGCGATCCCAGCGGAGGCCCAGGCAGCCCTGAGAGCCCCGAGCTTCTGTGCGTGTGAGGGGTGTGGCCTCATCTCTGGGGAAAAGAGGGACAAGGCATCTGACCTGCGGGGACCACGGGTTCGGTGTCTGTACCTTTCGCTGTTCTTTTTGCCACTAGAAGAGCTGCTGGTGGAGCCCGTGCGGTTCCGGTTGCCCTTGGGGTCCCCATAGCTCTCCCTGCGGCCGCCAGGAGACACTCGTTCGGAAGAGCTGGTCCGCTTGATGGTGCTGGAGTGAGAGGCAAATGACAAGGAGGTCCTTAACAGAGTGATTTTATTTCATGGCCGAGTATAAAATACATACACAGAGCATCATGGTTCCACGTTCATGTTTAAAAGACAGATTGGCCTGGCTGGTGTGGCTCAGTGGATTGAGTGCTGGCCTGTGAACCAAAGGGTCGCCAGTTCGATTCCCAGTCAGGGTGCCACGTCCTCTTCCAACCATGTTGTCTGACAAGGTCCGGGCATGGAGGACTCGAGTTCAAGGAATTCGTCTCCCCGGAGGAGAACGTGCCATCCAAAGTGGGTTAACAGTTGGCTGTTTTATTTTAATTATTTTACTCTTGCTACTGAATATAGGCATTATACTGCACTTACTTATTCCTGCGAAAATCACCCAAGAGGAAGGGTCAGTTCAGGGGAAAATTCCCCACAAAACTGCCTAAAAGGATGGAAAAATCCCCACAGACTCCCCTCTCCCTTATACAGGGAGTACGACAGCCAGGGCAATATAATTGTTAACCATAAGGGAAAACATGTCAAGTTGTATAAATTACCCTGGTTTGAGCAACTTAAAGTGATCGGGACCGCCACAGTGTACCAGAAATAAGAAAAACAGGTTAGATTTCTTAAATCAACAGTTAAGGCCAGTTAATAAAGAACCAGGTTATTGTTGCAAACACAGGTTGTGCTGCCAACATTTGAGGGAAGAACAGATCAGAAAGACTTTCCCACGACTGTTCCTCACCCACAGATACAAAGGGTCCTCCAAGAAAATGAGTAGAAACTATATAGACCCCTATCCACAGCCCAGGGATACGGTCGGGACGGTTGAAATGCAGCTGCAAGGCAGAGGCACCTGTGGCTGGATTTCCTGTCTGTCTCTCCTTACACGTTTGTTTGGGTGACCAGAAGGTGGTGGGATTGTTAGACACCTGTATTTCAGGTTCATTGATTAGCATAATTCCAATGAAGTTGTACAAAATAATTTCTTGACCAGAGAACAAAGTTCCCTCTAATGAAATAGTTCCTGTATATCTAAAAGTTTTTGGAGTAACAGCCCCACCTTTACCTTGAATAGGAATATATATCAATTAGACAGGCAAAGAAATAAGAAAAGCTGGTTAGAAATGGTTACTAGGGAGTCAGAGTTTATAGTACACAGAGAAACATTTTAGGCAGAAAAATAGATAGCTAAGTTAGACATCACAAAGGCCTTATAATAAATTTCTTAACCTCTGCTCGGTCTAACGTACCTTTTGCCCCATGCCAAATTCTAAGACCTTTAATAGACAACAAGACATTCAAACTCTGTACATAGTTATTACAAATTGTCTGATTAATGGCTCTCCTGGTCAAAACAACTTTTGTTTAACATAAATGAAATTATGGAAATTCTTGTATTTTTCCTGGTTACTTTTGTATTGATTTTTTGCTTAACTGATCATGCAATGCTGCAAATGTTAATCACTACCTAAAATGGAAGTATAAAAACCTGCTTGTACTTGCAATAAACGGAACAGAGCTTCACTGTCCTTTGAGGCGTGTTGTCGTCGGTTACCCGTCGCCGACGCCTTACCCACCTTATGGGAATCCCTGGACCCTGCTGCGGCTGGTCCGCAGCATCAGGGCACACGCCTGGGTTTCCGGCCAGGTCCCCAGTAGGGGGCGCGTAGAGGCAGCCACACACTGATGTCTCTCTCCCTCCCTTCCCCTCTCTCTAAAAAAAATAAATAAATAAAAAATCTTGGAAAGACAGATTGGTTCTCAAGTCCTAACTACAGAGATCAAAAAACTTTTCAGAATTTCACTTGGACTCAGTGTTTCCCTCACTGCTCTTGTAACCATGGTGATCAGCACGGGTCAAAGCCACAAAGGAAGCTGAAAGGTAAGCACCCCCACAAGGTGGTGTGAGAGAACCTCGAGGGCTTAGCTGGGTATGACCCTGCACTTGAGTAGGCCTCAGCTTGGACCAGTGGTGCTCAACCAGGGGCGACTCTGCCCCCAGGGGCAGGTGGCAATGTCCGGAGACATTTCTGGTTGTCACAGCTGGGGGAGAGGGCTACCACTGGCACCTGGTGGATGGAGGCCAGGGATGCTGCTCCATCCCCAGTGACGCCCAGGGCAGCCTGACAACAAGGCAGGATCCGGCCCCCAGCATCAGTGGTTCTGGAGAACTCTGGTCTGAAGGCTCGTGGGGGACGAACACAGGGTGCCACAGGAGGTGACATAGCATGCCACCCTGTGCGCAATGCTGTGCTGAGGGGTGGTGCCCATGCTGGCCCTGACCACCCTTCTGGGGACTTTTTGACAAGTGGGAGAAGGGACACCAAGACAGAAGTTGAGACCAGCAGGGCCACAGGATTTGAGCCATTTGCAGCCAGATGGGAAATCAAACGGTCCTATCTTCCCTGACCACGGACGCTTGAGAGCAAATGGTTTACACCTCGGCTCCCTGACCGGAGAGTAAACGGCTGGTCAGGGAGACAGACAGCAGACGCCAATTAGTGCCGGCCAAACCCAAGGGCGGGGAAAGTCAGGGAAATAAATAACAAAGAAAAACCCAATTAAAACCCAAAACCCAAGATAGAGGTAAAGCTGACCGGAAAATGACCCTGGTGTATCAGCACATTAAAGAACACACCTGGAAAGCTGAGGCATATTTTGTGGAGACCCTCCCCTCAGCCTCCATCAGGATTCCGGCCTTTAGGAAACAGGTAAGAACTTTGAACAAAGAACCGGGCCCAGGATCTCTCTGGAGCACACCCTCCCCTCTCTGACCCCTTCCTCGGGCATGAACTTACTTGATCCTCACTCTAGGGGTCCCCCCGAGACCTGCAGGCTGGGGAGCAGCGGGCCGTGGCAGTGCCAGCCTGTCCTGGGCTAACCCGAGGCCCCTGCTCTCCGACTTTCAGGGAGCTGACAGCAGTCCCACTCCCCACTCGGCCCACTTCTGTCACTGTGGCTTCCACTTCTTGGGGAGCCCACACGGCCCCGTGAGGCTCACTTCCTTCCCACGATGTTTCTAGGGAGCCAAAGCAGAGCACTGCCTGGCCACCCCCTGCTGCTTCTCCTGTCTCCAGCTTCAGTGCACACACTCGCGAAGCGTCCTGGACTCGAGCTGTGAAATTATTCCCGCACGAAGTCAAAAGCCCACACACTACTGGCCAGACCGGCCGCTTTCCAGGGATAGGGTGGCTGGAAACCCGGGGGACTGTCTGGGGAAGACCCCCAGAAGGCTGAGTTTCTGGGAGAGGTAAGGGGCTTGCATGAGCCGTAGTGACGCAGTGGGGAACGCGGATGCACGGCAGTCACAGAGCCGGGCGGGATGTGGGCCGCCTACTCCGCTCCTAGAGCAGTAACTGCATTGCCTGTATCCCTGCAAAGTTCTGAAGTTTTCATCATCGGCCATACATTTCTTGAGATCTTACCTCGTTTATTGTTCTCGTGAACTTAGTGGCAGAGAAGCTTGATAAATATCTATTAAATGAAGGGACACGAAGCGCTTTAATTTAGCACCTGCTCTAGAAGGGAGAAGGGAGAGTGGGTGGGTGGGTGGGTGCAGTGGAGGTGTGTGTGGGGGGATAATTGTGCACACCTGTGACCCAGGTGGTGCCTCAGAGCAGAAACCATCCAGCTGGCGGTCACTGAGCCACAGATGTGGAGGGAATTGCCAAGTGAGGACAGGAAACTGCCACGGGATTGGGCGGTAGCAGAGAACCCAGAGAGACGGGGAGGAAGGAACGAGGAGAGTGGCTGGCGGCCCAGACAAAGAAAAAAGGGGAGGACCAGTCAGGGTGCCTGGAGTGGAGGGGAGACGACGGGGCTTCAGGGGTGGGGCGGATGGTGGGACGTGGACCCGGGGCTGCCCGGCAGTGCCCTCGCTGCTTCCACAGTTACAGGTCAGACAGAGGGAGGCCCCACGTGGTCGGGGCTCCTGCCGCCTCCGGGGCTGCTCCTCCTCTGTGGCCACCGTCCCCTCTCTGCCTTTACTCTCGGTTCCTGCTCAGCCTGGTTCTTCCTTGGGGCCCACGTGCCGTCCTCTCCCTTTGCAACTTCCATCTAATCTCTTGGTGTGTTTTTAAAAACCACACGGCACCCTGGCCTTTGAAAACCAGTTTGCTCTCTGAGTGAGCAACATAAATGAAAGGACCCAAACCACGCAGGTCTGAGTGCATTTTCTGCGCAGTCCCGCTGGTGACGAGGGAGCTCTGATTCACAGCCCCTGAGTCTTCCAGCCGGACCGACATGGGCGTGCCTTAAGGTCAAAATGTGAATTTTTAGAACGGTCAATTTGGGGACAAGGAAATTACAGACCTTAGGAGAACATGACATGTTTGAGATTTTGGACTGAAGTCTTACAATTACAGAAGCCTCTGTGCTTAAAGTTCAGCATCTTCCAATGACGACAAACATCAAGCTATCGTGACGTGGCGGATCATTCTGTGCCAGTCATTTGAGGCACAGAGGGTGTAAATGGGTGATGGAAGGAGACTTCGTGCACACACAATTCAATATACACATGACGCATTACAGAACTGTACACCTGAACCCTAATAATTTTACTAACCGGTGTCTGCCCAATACATTCAATTCAAATTAAAAACTAACCAACAGAGTCCTGGAGTGTCTCAGGTAGCGGTCAAGTTAGTGGTGGAGCCCCATGCCCTTGAACAGCACGTCCTTCCGCTGCCTGTCCTTGCTGTGTGGGCTGCCCCTTTAAGAGGCAGAGGAGCCAGCTGACTTCTTACAAGACCAGGTGGCACTGCTGATGCGCTGGGGGATCTCGAACAAGTTTCTGAAACTCTAGTCTCAGCTTCCTCACCCGAACATTGAAATGAAAAAATTCAACCTTGCAGTTGGATGAAATGACCGGAAAAAACCAGGAAAATAGATACCCATTCGGCAAACAGGAGTCCCCCATCCCTGCTCCCGGTCCCTGTCACAGACGGACTCTCTTTTTTGCCAAGTAGAGAAAGTGGGGATGGCCCCTAAGGTCCCTCCCAGCTC